GGCCACAGACTGTCGTTGTAATGTATAAGAACTAAGTCGCTTTGCGGCCGCTCATTCCTCTTCAATGAATATATAATACTATGTACTAAATAGAATCATTTTCCATAATGAACCGTAAGCTACGTTACGGCCGCTGTACGTCACGCTTCATTTCTCTATCGATTAGAAATATTGATAACGTTTTACCGTTCTTAATTTCACATACAGCTTTAGTTGATAATGTAACTATGCGGTATTACAACTATATAGGTGTTTACACACACATGTACACATAAATACAGATACATGTATCTCTGTGTGTGTGTGTGTGTGTGTGTGTGTGTATGTGTGTGTGTGTGTGTGTGTTTGTGTGCATGTTTGTTCATCAACTTGTAGGTGCCGGCGACCTTGATTTGTTCGGCTCACTGCACTCGACGTCCGAGTTCCGGTTAGTTCCATACATTACACCAGACATTAACACGCCTCTTCTTCTTAGTATGTAAGCATGAGTTATATTCGCCCGTGGGAAAAATATTCCGCGATATTCGCGAAGTATTATGATATTGTTCTATTGTTACGATATAATTAAATCATGACTTCGTAACAGACGGCATGAAAATTTTGCTAAAATAACAAAATAATGAAATTATTAATCCAATCATTGTTTCGTCATCGAATAATACAATCAAACAGCAAAACAATTTTATTAAACAAGAATTAGAAGTTTGTGTTTTGGAATACCTAATTCTAATTAGAAAAAATTCTGACTGTTCCATCTTTCTTACCTGGCAATTTCCCAGCTTTAGCCAGGGTCTGCCTTACATGTTGTGAATAGTTTTGGCTAATTGTTTTTACGACCGGCCGCCGGCCTGACATCAACCCTCTTTGGGAAAGCATTAATCTAAACTAAATACTCTTAGAAAGTATATATGACTCGGAAAAATCACATTGGTACTTGCCAGGATCGAACCCGCGCCCTCATGCATGAGAGGCGGGCCTGTTCCATGACAACCAAGTGAACTTAAAACGACTTATGTTTTATAATCAAGTTGTATCGATGACAGTAACAAAATATGAACAAGTTCCAAGTCATGCGTTAATGAAAGTAATCGTAGCAACCTCGACCCCATTAAAACAGAGAAAACCAGCATTGAGAATATAAAGTCGCTTAAAAAATGGTTAATCTTTGACCTGCACTTACAGGTTTAATGTGCGAGGATCTTAAATTGGATGAATTACCAGCACATCTTACAGAATACAACAAAAACGTGACTTATCTTACTAAGATTATGAATACATAAAGAAACTTTTATTTTTCCCAGGTCCTATCTACTCAGAGAATGGTTATAAAATTAAGAAAACATTATTTAAAGAACATCAAGAAGGAAGAGGTAGTTTTAAATTATAATTTTAACAAAGAACGCAAGTGAAGCCACAGAGAATATATAGAAAACAATAACTATCTAGTTTATAGCATGGTTAATTTAATAAGAAAAAAATGTGTATTAAGTCGAGAAGTTTTGTAAATTTTTCAGTCACAAAGCCAGTCAGTTAGTTGCCCTAGAATTAAATTATTATTCTTCATGGATAGGACTAAATGTTATCAACAGTTACATTATATATCATCGTTTTACACTTGAAGGAGATAACTTAAAAGAATATTCCACGTAGCGTTTCTAACTTTACGATTCTCTTAAAGGGGACTTCTTCAAGACAAAAGGAAACGGACCCCTTGAGCTATAAATAATGAGATTTGGACGTCAACACCAAAAGATGTTTGTTGTGGAACTGGAATTTTAAAATTCTTCACTCCGATTTTACATAACAATATTTTTACTTTTATTAATATAACCTTATTATGAATACATTTACAGAGAGTATTAAATTAAATTAGATCGACAAATGCCTCCACCGAGCTCATGCATCGAGTTATAATATAAAATGGCAAAACAAGTTAATCATCATTTATAACTTTCAGTGCGTATAAATTTATTACTGCAGTATAATTTCTAAATGAGTATGCATTTTTTTTTTAAAAAAAAAAAAGGTACTCCTATGCTTTCCAGCGCACTAAAGCTCAAAAACGTCGGACAGACTCACAATGTTATAAAAGGTACAATAAAACATAAATGAATAAAAAATTCAATTAATTAATTCAATGTTTTTTTTGGTTGTATATTTTAAACCTAATACATTATTATGTCATTAGCTAATCGATGACAATATACAACATGTGAAATGTGTGGGTTGATGAGGTAAGACTTATTTAAAATGATTAGGTACAATAATGACTTAATAAGAACATTTTACTTTCAACATGTATTTAATTCCTTATAATGATAAAGTATTAATTGAAATGATTACAATGTATATGAATTTAATTCAACACAATGTCCGTATGATTGCATATGCTGAAACAACTACCACGTGATATTTAAATAAAGTGACGGGAATGCTTTACGTTCCTCATTACACGTATGTGAAAACGTAGGGAGAGAACAACAGTTTTCCCTTGAGAGTACTAAGAGCGACGTAGATAAGTAGGCTTTGCATTCAACGCACATTAGCTGGATGCTAGCGACGAGACAGAACTACTATAACATAAACGTATACATCTATATTTATATTTATTTAATATGAAACAGTTTTTACAAGTGTCGGATATAAATATGAGAAATATGTTCAGTAATGTTGATATATTTTTCCCAAAGAGGGTTGATGTTAGGCAGGCGGCCGGTCGTAAAAACAATAAGCCAAAACTATTCACAACATGCAAGGCAGACCCTGGTTGAAGCTGGGAAATTGCCAGGGAGAAGAAGATTTAAGTTGTACTGGAGTTATAAATAGCACTATGTTAGCACGAGCGATGGCATCATAGTACGACGTTCTGAGTCATACCGTTTATGACATAAGAGCGGTCCAGTCAGACTTGTTTACAAACACCATCAGCAATTTCAACTATATTTTGATGGAATAAGTCACTCCGATACATATAATAGATTTAGTCAGTTTATGGTTTGCCTATTTCGCCATATAAAACTTTGACGTTGTTTATTTTCGGCGAGGAGAACTTTTGGCACGTTATATCAACATTTTCATTGCATTATAATAAAAGTTGTTTTCGCTTCGAAAAAACTAACACTTCAATAGTAATTTGGGTGTTTCGTTTATCTGTATTTAGTATTGGTTAATTTATATAATTATTTTAGACTACTTTAATACTATGGACGACTTGTAATATACTTCTGAACTTACCCTAACAGAATATATGTTCGTATCTAATTCATTCTAATTTCCCAAGCGGCTAATGATATCCTTCGTATTTCGTTTCTGGAATACGATCACAGGGAATTAATTTCTTTTCTTTTAAATCAATTATGAATTTTGTCATTTATACGCAGGAGGATAAGAATTTTAAAAAAATAAACTACACACGAACAATGTCTGTAATTAATTACATTTAAACCATATTAGTTCTCATAAGCCAATAATACGGAGTTTTGTTTTTAAAAAGCAGACTTGTGTATGTAACTAGAAAGGTAAAAGCCGCGCTAGTCCGTCGACCTCGTGCGACGCCATTGTGGCTCATACCGGCTCATGAAATATGAATGCATCGCCTGAAAGAACAGCTAGTCCAGCTCGTTTTAACTATAGCCCATAGACCACCAATATGAACGTAAATGGTCATCAAAACATCTCCCATAAAAAACGGGTTAGTTTTTATTAAGTTATAACCCGTCTTCATTGTTAATATAAACCAGTCAATACATGGGGTACATGACTCTTAAATAGACATCTCTTCAAGGTTTTATTTGAATTATAATTATTTTCAAGACATTGTGATATTTATAATCTATATATTGTATCTGTTGCTGCATTAATTTTCAAGGTTTCGTTATTGGTGGTAATGAAATGTATTTAGGTTTCGAGAATATTTGAACATTTAAGTGGTTTGTTGTCAATGATGAAAATAAAAACCAGTCTGAAAAAATATATTTAAATTAAATAAAATAATATAAAAACATGCATTATGTATGTATAGGGATTAATAAATGCATAAAGTAAATAGGTCTATTACAGAACCAGTTTTAAGTGAGCACTTGATAATGTGATAGTGTTACATAAAGACCATGCTTTAACCCCATTTTTAAGTCAAATAAAAGGTGACCTAATACTATAAAAAAATTGTACATTAAATAATGACTAGAAAGATCATAAAGAAAATTATACAAGTTATTATAACTCAAGAACTAAACAACCAAGAGTTGAAAGTAAACGCACTAAGTATACAGGTGCTTGGATAAAATCTAATCCCTATGAAATATATTTCTACAAATGAACATTTTTATTATGACAAAATCAAACATGCCTAACTAAATAAAACATAAAATACAAGCGATAAAATATACTTATATCTTAAAACTCACAAATACGTTACACGACTTTTACGGTACTAATAATATTTTATGCAATAAGACTAATACATAATACTATTGTTTTAAAATAGCACAAAAGTATATTTAGCAGGAATGATAACAAAGCAATGCAACCTAAATGCAAATACTAATACGTTAGTGAATTATAGAAAATACTACAGGATTGCGTTTGTAAACAAAGAATTCCCACACTCACCCATACACTATAGGCGCCTTGAATGAAAGAGATGTCAATGAGGTTGAATTAACATGTATCACAGCAAACTGATACGGTGCATATCCCCAAGGTAAACAAAGATTACGTAAACGGAATCCCACGCACGTCTCCCGATCGATTATTAAACTTTTGAATACGCCCACTTACATTTTAATATTAACTTAGCATCAAGATACAAATATCCAGCCAGCACATACATATAACAACTAAATATCGCCCTTGAAATCATACATTACAATATCGATGAAGCACAACACTGACAGTTACAACAAACATCCACAGGTCAAGTTCGGATCCGGTAGGGCGAGAATAAACGGCGGTGTGGTTTGAAAAGTTTGTAAATATGAGCGGTTGTATTTGAATACAGTATGTACGATACGATGCGCTCGGAGGCACGCGGCGGACTGAGCCGCAAGGAAGCCGCCGACCGTATGGCGTACGACGAAGGACCCCGCACTCCCTGCCGCAGACCTCGTGCGCGCGCCTCTCCACGCATAATACCATCAAACAGAAAACATTTTCTCATGTAATTACAATTAGTGGATTTCGTTATTAAAACTTAACATTTTAACCAATTAAATATAATTAATATGAAATTTCATACGGACTGTAAATAGTCGAAGTTTTAAAATTTTCAGTTCAACATATAAATATATTTGATAGGCCTATCGGTGTGACTGGATGATTTCTTTTTCATTCGCCTACTCAGACGTAACAAGAAATCGGTATCTTATAAAAAATACATCCTTCAAGCTTATCAAAGTCTCACACTCTCAACTGTAAAATGATAGAATACGTACCTCTTATTAATATTCTGATACGATATATACACAATGGAGCTGTCAGGGGCAGGATTGAATTCTTATCTCCAGGGAACTGAATTAATTCTGGGGTGAAAAGTATACCGTTCATAGGACTAAACATTTTATAACTCGTTTTATAATTTGTAACATACCCAAAAACATCCCGACAACGAAACAAAGCGAACATAAACATGACGGCGGGGAGAATCTTTGTGTTCGTTAATTGCTCATAGCATTCATTTAAACACTTCCAGTGATATAATCCTCTTTCAATTCCTGTAGAAAGCTTAAAAATAAACCTAGAGAAACTCTCCGAAAGGTAATTGTTTTAGGTACGAGCCATTAGCTTCAGGTTGGTGTTTTGTTTTTAGTTTTCTGACGGCAGAGCCGTTGATGCTAATGGCAGGTAGACTAGAGGGAGATAGACAACTTTAATTTTACGGAGTAGGATAGCCCACTAACCTTCCTTCCAAGAAAGTCGAGACGCGGCTATTAACTTTATAAACGATGCAATATTACCAGCTATAGCTCATAGCTTACTTTTTCTTATTGCACATAAATGTCTTTAATGGCTATTCCTATCGTATTTAAACGGCTGAGATTAATATTCAAAACTAATAAAATATATTCACCTAGAAACATTTGTATATCTTTAATAGGATCTTTATTTTTATAATTTATCTGTGAAATCATTGCATTAAGTGTTTATTTTTTTATTAATTACATTTGTTTAGGAAGTAAGTATTATTTAAAACGTTATCGTGATATTTTTTTGTAGTTGGTATAAATTCTTTATTAATAGGTTGATATTTTTATTACAGCATGTAATTTTTGGTATATTTCTTAGTTTTGGTATAAAAAAAAATATATAATATAAGTGAGTAACAGTATTGACTTCAAGCGAATTAAATAAAACGAGAATTTTTATTGCTGACCCAAGCCATGCTCCCGATATTCGAGGCCAAAATAACAATAACAATACAGCAAACATATAATATTATTACGGATATTACGAAGTTATTTTTTATACTTTGAGGGAAAGTCGTTCTAAATTTTTATAAGCATTCGTGTTTGATCTTTTTTTTTGTATGCAATATTTTTTATTATCTTAATTTACATAAAGATATGCTTTGGATTTCTTGAAATAAATATAGGGTCGAATGCCACTATAAATTTATTGATTTACGAATTTATATATTTCTACGAAATAACAGACGCCCGTGTATGCAACCTATAAATTAATCCTTTCAGTAACGTATTTATTATAGAGCCTATTGAAAATTCAATATCTTTCTAATCCTATTTATATGCGTGGAATCATAGAATTAATTTTATGAAAGGTGGCCTGGTATTTGTAAGGATCGGGGCTTAATACTGTACCTAAACAGAATTTAAAATCTTTTTGACAAAAAACATATAATATATACAAAATAAATACATTATTTTTGATTTAGAAATTAAAACAAAACTCTTATTACACTGAATAAACTAACTGGATATATTAGTTCTTAGTTATTGACAAGTACATTCACTTAGTCTTAAAACTCTCTTAGGATTTTTGCAACATTAAAATATTACATTTTTATGCTACCCCATGGAACAATCTCAGTTCTAAGTATATATTTAAAGAACATACTATAGTGTATACCTTACTTAGTATACTTTAATTTTGCGAATGAATTAAAATCTAAAAATAAATTGATAAAAACTGATTTCGTGTGACATAAGTAAAGAAAAAAATTTAAACAGCCATTTTGTGTAAGCGACAGTTACTGTTTGACGATAAAAAACACACTACTGTTTTGTGAACTATAAGCTACTTACGTCAATATGTTGAGACAATACTTTTTCTACGTCAAAGTTAGTTACTTTAACAATATTTGTAAGTAATTTTTATTCGGGATCGAAATTTAAATTAACGCAATTACTGCAATTAAAGAATCACAAGGAAATCGATTTTATGAAGCAAATTTTGACTTAAACTTTTATCACTTTTTTTAGATAATGCAATATTTACAGAGCTTGCCAACTAAAATAGATTTTACAAATATTTTCTATGGGTATAAATTTAAATTGATTCCATAATTATATTTATAACATAACATCTATGTTCATCAACATATCTACTTTTGTATCTAATATATTAGTATAATCTGTCAAAATATTTCATATATAATATTGAAGCCTTCAGATTTAGAGTAACTTCAACAAATTAAAGTAATACGTATTATGTCAATATGTAATTCAATTTCTCGCTACTTGTATCTGTCGGCATATAAAATGTCAATTATCGCAACTGTATTAGTAAATACTAAACTTATGTATAGCTGACTAGACCGACAGTGCTAAGAGAATGTTCACATAAGCTGTTTGACTTTTTATAAATAGTGAAAAATAATTATCTTCATTAGTCTATCAACATGCATTTCACGTGAGGGAACTTTGTCTAAATCTTCAAACCTAAGAATAAGCATATTTAAAATGAAACGTTTGAAAAAATACGCCGTAAAACTTAAGTCAAAAAATTAGGGATACTCAAAATTTGTTTTTATTCCTTTAAATGTACATCAAGACTGAAACTGCTCTAACTCATACTTAACGTATGAAATAATCTACTTTGTCACTAGTGAATTTTGTGCCAATAATCCAATATATTGTATCCAACATGTGTCCAATGTGCAAGTGTCTCTAGCAGAGCAACCGCCTGTCACATCTCATCTGCGGGCCATTTCCTGTTCAGACGGGGATCAGACGTGGTCTTTAAATATACCATACATGGTACGAATATGTTCAATGAATCAATTGAAATACAAACTACACATAAAGAAAGTTACATGGAAAAAAAACATTATATAAATATTACGTTAGCATCTATGTAATACTGGTGATAAAACATAAAAACAAGATAGATCACATTTGATATGATAATAACACGTTCTGTGACACCGTAATTATTTAAACAGTATCCGTGCTTGTAAAACTAATTTCATAATACTATTACTAATGTATCGAAATATATGGAGAAATATAAAACCATTGAATTATTTTATCTATAAAATAGGTTATATGCTCTGTATTATATTATATTACTATCACTTGAAATAAATTATTTGTATAATTAAAATTATAGCTATGGAAATATAATTTAATAATACAATGTAAGCACATTGCATGTATTGGTTAAGTAGCCACGATAGGCTTTACAAGTGTAGGCCTCAACCAAACATAAACAACAGTCGCTTAGATACAACGCAGACTGTTTACATTCGCTCAGCAGAAATAAGTTGTTTCTGAACTGTTGTTGCATTGTGAGTACCTCTCATTCATCTTAAACCTTTTCAGATGGAAAGTTTAATAGTCGTCGAGACGAATGCAGATACTCGCCGCGCCACGCTGGGACATAAAAACTTTCATTTGCTTTGGCCCTCTCGACGTAGACCTTGTATTTATCCAGTGTTACCATACCGCATAATAAAAGAACACCGCTTTGACGTATACCCCTGAGTCGTTTTAAAACTATAATAATCCGAATAAAGAAATCTCGTTTCAGCTCTTTTCACAAGTCTTAATTAGCTTAAAAACATTTTGTTAGGTAATACATACGTCAGTTTCGTTATATGTGAAAAAGCCAGACTAACCAAATAAGGTAATGTAAGTCAATTGGGTGTTAATAGATACGGTGTTTGCAACATAATTAGATAAACATAGTCAGCAATCACTAATCAGACTAAGTTTGCGAAGGCTGGATATAAATTGATTTATAATAACTACATATGAAAGGTAACTTTTGGGCCAGTGAACGTATTTTTTTCGTTCTAAGCCTCATCTATGTATATCAGTTATTATGAAAAACTTTTACCACATGTATCAATCCTTAAAAGAAACGTCTGTAGAATAATCTATTAATATAAAAATATAGGCATATTCTACTTTACTATTGAGATTATTAAATAATATTCATGTTGATTACGTATGCTATAGTGTCTTTATAAATTCAAAAGTTATAGAGAAAAAATTATAAAGTTATTCCGTCGCACTGTAACCTTTAATTAAAACCTCCCCTTGCAGAACTAATATAAAACATTATTTCGACTTATTAACCATTTTTCCATGAGTTAATCCAAGTATCCCTCGCCTCCCCTTTGGTTTGAGCTGAAGGTAATACAACAAAATGCAATAACAACTTATCTTCACCGTTACATTTAATAACAAAGCTATCGCCACTTTTCAGGGCTAACTTCCTCACACTCGTAAACTTCTACGTAACTATTAAGTCACATTGTCGGCCCATTACTTCCGTCCGTAGTATTGTTATCATGAGCCTGTTAAGAGGCAATACCGTGTTTTATGCACGAACGAAACATGATGGCATATAATCCATTGTTTCCTGTCCTGTCCCGTCCCATTTTACGGCCAAATAAAATGGATATTGTTAAATTCTATTGAATTAATGACATAGCATGTACATTATTTTGTTTATAAGCTGTATACATTGTGGAATATAGGAGCTTATTTTGATTCTATATGGAGCAATACAATCAGAAGATCAATGAATATTTCATCTAAATATGTTCTTATTGTGATATATTAGCCGTTCCATCAAATATGAATGTAACCGTATTGTCTTTGGGATATCGACGATCACGCTCAGCCCACGGCTCGGATGTGATTTAGAGACCATTTTTCATATGTATTGCATGAACCCGGATAGAGAAACCGTTTTTCCTGCAGTTCCCCCGAACGTAATCAATCGGATGTTTTTTTTTATTCCCCCCAACCAATAGTCGTGCGAATCAATCAAATAACAAATAAATCATACCATCTCTAACTCATGTTCTTTTTCTGTTCGTGCTTGCATGTTAATTGAATGAGTGTAAGTCACTAGCAATCCTATTTGTATTATAAATGGGAAAGCTTGTGAGTATGTATGGATGTATCTATGGAGGTATTTCATGTAGGTCTTTCATGCATACACTTAACGCGTTTTGATAATACTTTACATTTAATATATCTTAAACATCAGAATAAACATTTATGTCCGAACGCATTTTAGTTCCCGACATGTGACCTAATAGTTGTTTTATGAATGAAGTTACGTAAAGCAGACTATAGATGTCGCTAACCGTTGGTTACCATATGAATTGTTTTAACACAATTTACACACATCTTTATGCCAAAATCGGAAGGGCACACAGGCAAAAGCGCAGGCAAAAACTAGTATATAAAATTCTATACCTAATATAATACATATAGAGTTTTAAATAGTCTTCTTCTGGATATTAATCTTAATGTTAATAAGAGCGTAATTAATAAAGATGTACGTAATGGTTAAAGAAAAAAAGTATATTCGTAAATACGCTACTAGAATATTCGCAGTTTATTTTCATTGCGTAAAGAATAGATACGAATAGATATTTTTAGCTGTACACGTCCAAATGTCTGAAAAGGATCCCAACTGAATAATATGTCGAAGGTAAAGGGAACACATGGAGAGAGCGCTATTTTATTTAAGGTATATAAAATGCCGTCTAAAACGGGCAGTGGGTCAAAAGGTTTCGCTAATGGCAGCCCGAAAGCCAATTATATCAATTAAATACTTTACGCTAGCCTGGACCTTTTTTTATAAAAATCTTCTACATATATTATTATTTAATATGTCCGTCTAATAAAAGAGAATTTTTGGGAATAAAAATACACTTCAATGATACATATATGTATATATAAAATTAAATGGTTCTATTTGAATATTAAATCCTTTAGCACATCAATTATATCAATTATTTTATATTTTAGCATGAAGAAACATCTTTATTATTTTCTTATTAACCAAAAATCTTTATTAGCTTAACCCATACACTAAAATTTTGGGGCAAATTATTTGATGTTGAACCAAAACCACGGGAATCATATAGTGAAATAAAAAGAATATTTAAAAGATGAAAATATAACTGCGAAGAATGAATTTGTACATGCGCAAAATTGTAATATTGGAAACGAACTAACTGATCCCCAAAATTAATTTCAAAAACAATTTCAGCTTTAATATAATAAAGTCCGAGCAATTTAGAAGGTCTAATTCAAGTATGTTATGTCCAACCGTCCATTGTATTTCATAATAATTTACTCTCAGTAGAGTTTGATTATATAAATAATATTAATTAAAATATACACTAAAACCATTTTCATATTTTAACAGAATAAATAATATCTCAAGTTGAAATATGGTTTCTTAAAAGTAGCATTCTACCATGAATAATTCCCACTTATTTTAGTAAGTAATTACTTATTTTAGTAAAACACAAAAATCATTAAACATCAACAAAGAGTCCTATTGTTTTATGAAATGAATATTATGTTATATGTTTTATCAAACTAATTTGATATGCTATAAAAATGCTTTGTCTTCTTCAAATACCACCTACGTCTCTTTCGGAATAGTCTCACAAGTAAATGGATTGTATTCTATTATAATGACATGTATTGTTCTAATAGTACTGTAACATCAACTTATTCTTAGAACGTACTTTCAGGCAGCCCTAGTGGGTTCGTTTCAAATTTGGTTAGGTAGAAAGGAGCTTGGACAGTGAAGGTGAGCGATTGACGCTCTTTAGATAGGGGACTCCCAAACCTACAACTAGGTTGCAAGTTCCAGACACTATTGAAACTCCCCTCCATGCGACGTGATGGTCTCGGCACTCTCACGTTGAATCTATGGAATCCTGAAAGTTTTCATTGTCCCTAAATATTGTTCTGTGGTTTATAAAGACAAAACCAAATAAATAGAGTTTCGTAAATCTGTATTTGCTTGAACTTGTGATTGAAAATTTAAATGATTAATAATTACAACGAGTTTTGATCAATAAAAGGTTTACACTATTGTGGTCTTTATATTATTTTCTCATTCAATATGCTCATTTCATTATAGTAAAGAAAAGAGACGTTTTCTTCGAGGATTAATCCCTCAATCGGTGGTTCGTATCGTAATACGCTCTCATATACAGTAAGTTATCTTTTTGTAAGTTATTAAGTAATATTTTTTATAAGTGAATATAGTGTCGCACTTCTGGTTTCATTTTTATGAAAATTTTTTGGATTTCAAATACCGAAAATAATTTTAAATACTATACATTATATGTATGTAGGTTGTAAAAAAAATCACTTACTAAAATAATGGAAGCCTACAATTTTCGAGAAGCCTGGCCTCCAAGAACTATGACCTATCGTCTGCCTATTGACACTAAATGCAAACCCTTTAACCAAGTTCATGTTTTCTACAGAAATATTTATATTTATTTCCCTCCTCCTCAATAAATTTATATTCTATCCTTACACACCAACCAAAATCAATCGATTTTACAGTTTTTATTACCTGTTGATCCGAAACTGTATATGTTTTCTCAATTACACTATGCAATGGAATTCGTACTATTTACAATATGTTGAAACAGCTTTATAATATTTAACATACTAATTATTAATCGGAATTAAGTTACTCCTAGTTGTTTATTTAATAAGAAATAAATATAGAATTCCTCATTCTTATAATAAGTTTTCATTAACACACTGCTTTCGAAGTTTTTCCTATTTTACTATCAACAAGTTAGGTTGATACTGTAATGTACGAATATATCTGAATTAAAAATTATCACCTCTCCTCATGTAGAGTGACGCTGCGAACTTGCTATCAACATATTGCCTTAAATATTTTTGATATAATAGACTTTCTTTCTCTTCGGAACCCATTTACAGCTTATAAAAAAATACAGTTCGAAATCAACTACCCACTTAAACACAATCTCCTTGAAGAACATTACTTCATGAGATATATATCGGAAGAATGTTGTTAAAAATAATTATAAACGCATAGTAAAACCGAAAAACAATAGTTTAATTTCAAGAACATTAATTACTGTTTATAGTCATACATATACAACTGATAGGCACTAACTTTTGTATTGGAATTGGTAGAACACTTGTTTATTTTAAGAATAAATTCACTCCATGAAATAAAAAAAGCTTGTATGTGTCACTTAAGTAATAGTACGAGACAAAAAAGAGCTATTATTTGCAGTTAGTATTTTGTTATCAATATAACTAAATAAAAAAATATAACACTATTTATTTATTAAGTTAAAATATCAGTATAATACTGTACTAGAGCAGAGAATTTAATAATTGCCTACTCTGGTACAGTTGTTGTGTTGTCTTGTATGACGTCAGAAGCGACACATTGAGCAAATCACAAAGAGAACCTGGCTGCTTTGAGTTTAGATGAATGTTAGGAATCAGCCTACGTTACATGAATGCCTTGTAATTAAGACGTCTTCATCACTCCATAAAGTAACTCACACTGTAAACACATAAATAACTCTGTCGGCTTAGAAAACTTGCGACACTTGTTTAGTTTTATAAATATTTTTTAAGTTGTACTAAATTTTTATTACTGATGTTTAAAAAAGTGTAACATGTAAATAAAGAGTCGTGTTTACACAATATAAAACAGTTCTAAATTAACTGGCAGGCTTACCACAAGTTTGCACGTCATTCTACTATTCATACGTTTCTATTCATAAATCTTCGCACATTATGCTATCATTATAGGCTTATAAATGAAAACCTTGAAATGCTCGGTAAGTTTGATAGTCACCCATCGTCATACAAACCTGTGGTAACAGTACGGGTTCACATAAATGTCGTTCACTAAAGGTCAAAACTGATATAAATATAGATATGAATACATAGTTTATTTTAGTAACAAAAGAAAAATTGCGCAATTTAAATGTCATCACAATAAATTCAAATAAAATACGTTTCGAAATTTAAATGATTACTACGATAGATATATTAAAAACGAACGCTTGTGGAGTATTTTGTTGAATTATTTATATAAAATCAAATAATGATGTTTATATAAATTTATGTTTAAAAGTGTCCCAAGTAGTAGTTATCGCGAAAGAACATCGTCACCCCAAATACAGGCGCTAAAAGTTTTTTAGTCAACACAACACAAAGTCTTAACACATTATAATATTAATTTAGGTTATTGAATGATAAACGAGAAACAATTCGTATGTAGTATGAGAACATGTTCGTTACTCATACCAAATTGTTATAAGAAATGACAGATATAATTTATCTTAGAATAGTTTTAAAGTCTTAGGTAATACTTAAGTTCAACCTAAATTTTACTCCGCAGCATTGATGATTATTAATTATAAATTTAATGTAAATTTATTCACATAGAAACAGGCTTAAAACGTTTGTACTAAGAAATTAACATGCAACTTATGATATTGTGTCAGTGCACATAACGCTTAAATAGCTCGTCACACGGAATCGCTAACTAAACTGAAAGTAACTATTAATACTAGAAATCGCTGACCTGATTTTAGTCGTGTTTTAGTGAAATGAGCTCAAGTAAACATATGCTTCATAGAGGATTTATATTTTTAATACACAAAACAAGGCTCGAGATTGGTTCTCGAAAAATCTACGAATTAAATAACTGGCACAAAACTAGTTTTAAAATTTAGTATAACAATAAAAACCAAGGACTCATACAAATACAATTTTATTCAAGAAGGTAACTTCTAAAAAGTTTTTCATCCTTTTATTCTTAGTTTATTCTTCCTTATCTTAAAAAAAAAGCTTGTTATAACTGTCTCTGAAACACGCAACGCTTAAAAGGCGCATACGAGATTACACATGAGATTGCAAAAGCAAAACAATAGTCGCCTATTCAGCACAGCGAAGACGAAGAACATTTTGTGTACGCCCTGTTGTACGTTAGACATAGTGTCCGAGGAGAAAAATATGGGGCGGGGGCCCAGAATAGGATGGGGTCAACGATCTCCGAGGCGCCGTCTGCACCGCCTTCACAAATCTTACATTATTTAGCAAGATCCATGATAACTGCCATACAGTCACACCGCTCTTACAGCCATTACTGTTTGAGAGGGATACTCAACACATATAATGTGAATACAGAAAAATACGACTTGATTATATCGTGTTTTATTATTAAAATTGACTTTTCTATGATATCCTATGTATATAGATACTTGTACTGACGTTAACCTTACAATATTAACGGAACTTTCCTGGCGGGTACATCTATTATCCTCATGGACAACTCAAGCTGGGGTTCGGAAAGGTAAGACAAATGACGAACGAAGCAAAAGTTATGGCACCATGAGAAAAGTAGCACGCCAAACTAATTTTATCCCTGTCGAATAAGAATAGTTCGATCTCTATATAAAGAAACATACATTCACTACTTAAACTAGAGCATAATCCATCAAATCAATCAATTTAATATTTTGTTTCATATTTTGAAAAGTACTCTTAATACGTAGAAAAAATAAGTGTCATTTTAGTCTGGAATATTTTATCTATATTAATTGTACCTATAGACCTGTTTAACTATAATAATTTTGAAAGCCTGACATCTATGCAATCAACTGTACAGATAAAATCTCCTAAGTTCAAAGTTTTTGATAACTTAAATGTTTACTTCTAAATAAAAGCCGAAACAGCGTTCAAAAGTTAACGGTGACTGACTGACTGACAGTAATGAATCCTTAACTTTGATCGATATAATCGTTATTAGTTCATTAATTATAAGTTACATAGCTGTCGGAATGAATTACTAAAATTATCTTATAACAAAATATTACAAAGAGTCCTTGCAAAGAGTAAAGGTTTTGTAACATTGTTTTTATTTCACAGTTAAAACTATGCATACATCTGCCAATTGTAACAATTCCTTTTTTTAAGAAATCCGTAAAGAAATCAATAAATTATGATAAAAATTATAAATGAAATACATAAATTATGAAATGAATATTATATAAAGTAGTATATATGCTATTGAAATTAAATAAATACAAAAAGCTTATCTATATAAAATTGTATATTGTGTTAGGCTCTATAATAGTAAAGACATAAGTAATGTACATAGGATTTTAATTTCAATATAGTTCACCTCATCTGATAGTTCTTCGTATAACATTTCACATCATACTGAATCTATACATCGTTAATTAAAAAACTAATTGAAACTCGTTCAATGGAGAATCGGCCTCTGCAATCAGATATAATCTTCCTATCAAAGAAAGCTCCTTTCAACGATCTATTAAATATTTAACCCCTAGAATAATGTTTTTTTTTGCTGAATTTCTACCAGACAATTCCATTCACTGGCCGCCGAAATCCTATTATATTTTGACAAACCTTTTGTACCATTGACAATTCATTTTTTTTTTTTGCCAACAATATTTTTTAATCAAATACAATAAAATAAAGCAATCTAACTTTCAAAGTCCTCCTTAATTATACTGTTCGAAGTCAATTGACGTCTGACCTAAATTTGCATTAGAATAAGGAGGCTGTCATCCGACAAGTTGAGCACAATCGCCATTCCATCTTAATACCAATCTCTCAGGCTGAATGTAAACAGAGCTGCAGCCTGGATTAGGCTGCGATTTAAACAAAGTTTTCCGCTCGGCGCCGTCTGTAGGCACTAGATATCATCGCAAGTTTTAAGCACCCTTTATCAGATCAAGTGGAGTTGCAAGATTTATATTAAATTATAAAGAATAACTTTAATGGAGAGAACGTAATACAAGTGTCATAGAAATAACTCCAGTGTGACATTTTTATTGTTACGTTTAAAATAACGTTTGTTAAGACCAAAAATATAGACTAATAAATGGTGTAAGCTGTGACACGATCTTCGATAGCCAATAATGCATTCCGAGCTCAATCTATCTTATCCGTTTCATAAAACTTTCCCCGAGCCAGGATCGAGTTTCCACAACTTTTTCTTATACGAGATTTTCTATAACACAATTCAATTTTTCCATCAATATTGTTAAGCTTCTTTTGTTTTGTATTTTATCGTAGTTTTTATTTCGGATTGTTAGCTGATTTTTATATTCGTTTAAATATTTCATGATAAATATATTCCTGTTTCATTTTATCATTTTGTATAGGTACATACAAATTAAATACGAAGAGTTTGTATTTGCTAATTACAAAAATCCTGTAATTAATGTAAAATAAAAATATAAATTTTTTTTATCAATAGCTGATGAAATCCACTCGGAAATATATAAAACCGAACAAACACACGTCCAATCTAATACTTGAGCTTAGGTTCAGTGGAGCGAATTGACCGATATCCAATTACATACTGAATAACGAGCATAGTGATCCATCACTGAATGGCCTTTAATAGAGCCGTATCAAAGCGCTGTTAACTCACTACCATAGACCAGAACCAACGAATGAAACAAATTAAACATATATATCTGTCACGTGATATAATAAATTCATAATATAATCCAATTCAAATATAATCTTCTGTCATTCAGCGTTCGTGACAATTTTTAAAGCACTTCATTAAGTTTTATGACGATAATTCCGTGTCAGTTGACATAAAATCATGTAAAACAAAGTGATATTTTATAAATAAAGTGATAAAACATATTGTGGTAATTACAAGGTTTAAGGTCTTTTGTTTGTAAGCCATGTTACAGAGAAAACTTGGAATAAAGATAATGAATTGCATGTTTTTCCAAAGATTTCTATGTTCTTAATGAGTTTTATCATTAGTTGAGATTGGTTTTCAAATGCTTTTATTTTTATATTAATGGCTGAAGTCTAGATTCTGTTTTAAGAACTCAACCGGTATAACTATTAATTACAAGCAGCCTTAAGATTTTTCTACTATCTTGTTATGAAATCTACATATTTTATTAGTTTCTAGAGTAATTAGCTTCTAAGTGGAGATAAATTCTTGTAATATCTTACATTAAATGGCAATATTTTTCGTATATACTATAAATATGTACATTAAGAACTAAAAAGAGAAATCATAGAAAGAAATAAATCTTAATTTATCAGTTTATTTCTAAGTGAGATCTCGTTAGCCCATGCTTTTATTTTATCACCGTTAGACTAATTAGTCTGGATTAATACTTCAATCTCTTGCTGTAAGAGCACTCTGAAACTAGAAGGCATTATACCTTCTTTATTTCTTTCTTTCTTGATACATCTTAATAAAACAATGTAACGAAAAATTGGCAACACTTATGAAATACGTAAGTAACCCAATCGGACTTAACTAACATAATTATAAATGTTGCAGTAAAGTCTAAATTGACATCGAAAAAACTCCTCATAGCAAACAATGGATATTTAAAAGCGTTATATTATTAAATTATCACTGAACACTGTCTAATTCTTTAATTCACATTTATAGAAGTAATAAAAAGCAGTCAAGACTGGAACGGTTGAAAGCTATTCAGCACTTGTATTTTTAATGTACCAATAAAACCATTAGGTCGAGTTTTATCTAAATATAATGTTCCTTTGTTATTTTCAAGGAATTTAATTCAAAAATAATAAGTTTACAGTTTCGTTTTAGTATATATATGTCTTTATATTATTGTTCGAGGACGAGATTATTAAGTGCTTTATTTGAACAAATACAACTTGTAGTATATTTTAACAAATATTATACATAATGTCAACTGCTATTAAGTATTATTGAAGGATGGATGTTAGGTGTATATTTAATATTATAATAATATAATATTATAATATTATTATAATATATAAGTTTATTTTATCTTTCCTTTTTCATGTATCTGAAAGTTTCTTCCCATGTAAGTATACGAAATCACACTATTGACTTTGACAGTCCGCTCAATATTATTCTGCCGATATCATTAAAACAATGAGACGTTTCATTTATAAATATAAAATTTATTTCCAGTATTGAATGCTGTGATCTAATAACGGATAAAAGTAGAGTCGTTAAATTCCAGTCCATTCATAAGCAGCGCATAGTAAATTTTAACTTTGGCAACATTTTAGAAATAACGATTTTTTTAATAGAAAATTAATTATCAAATCGAAGGAGTGACATTTTTTTTAAAAACAGGTTTAGCTAAGAAAGGTTTATTTTTCAATAATTAAAATTTGAGCCGCCGTTTAAAAAAAATATGTATTAGAAAAAATTAATCCAGATACTATAAAAAAAAGGTTGTATATCCCTGGAATTCGTTATTTTAAATTGTAAACTGATAAAATATAACTTACATTTAGTAGTTCAGTTCATGGCAACACTTAGCCGTGTTTATTTCCAAGCAAATATGTTTCACACCCAACTAAATTTTAGACAATACAAGAGAAAATCGGCTTATCTTACAGAGGCAGGCACTAAGCTGCGTTCTAGCAGTGCTGAGATGATAACATTATTTGACATTACAATAATGTTAGTAGTTTTATTGTATAACTAGTGTGACTTCTTCATTAGTTAAATTTATATAGTGGTAGGGTTTTTAATAAAGAGATTCGTGTATTAAAGATAATGTTAGTATATCATTATAGCTAACAATATTGTTTCAAAATATGAATTAATTACTTGATTACTAAAATAAATAAATAAATGATTGCATACATATAACTTTGGTAGTACCGAGTAATTTAATACTTATTAGCGAGAAATGAATCACTGTCACCACCGGATATTTAATATAAATATATACATAGTTGTTTTTTTTATCTGCTCACGATAATCCATATTCACTAAGGTGTTAAAAGTGATTATTATATTTATTTCTTTAACTTATAATAATTAAACGTATATTCGGACGTTTAATATATAGTAATTAAAAACAAAAAGACTGACTGTAACATCATAATTACGATGATCCGATTCATAGTGTTAACGGAATTGCTTTTGTAAAAGTCATTTTTGCGAATCTCTCTTGTTCACTCGATTAGGGCAATGTTCATTTAATTACATGATTGCACTCCCCAGTTTGTCGTGTCGATTGCATGACGATGGGAATTTTTTCAGTATGAGTAAAATACGGAAAGATTCATTTTTATTTGACTACATGCTGTTTGGAATAGACTAAATAGAAAGGAAACTAGATGAAGAGCAAAAACCAATTCCACGCTTTAA